CTCGAATGAATTGCTACTAAATGCAATACAATATCGTTTACCTCGCAAACACCTCCGACTTGAAACTGGACACGCAAACACCATCGGTATTGAAACTGGACACTGGAACTCGGAAGGATGTTGATAGTTTCGATGCAGTGCTGGGCTCCACGTAAGTGTTCCTCCCACACAGAAAATACGGCTTCGGAGACCGCTAAACGCACGTCGGTTATCTTAAACCTAGCTGTCCGCAGCACGCCTCCACCGTTTTGTACGTTAGCGCCGCAGGTTACACTGAGCGCATGCCACGCTCATCTCCGCTGCTCTTCTTTGCGGTATGGCGGTTAGCTCAAGAGCAGTCCGAACCCATTCCGTAAGATTTAAACGCGTTCAGTGCTCGTTCTTGATCTGGCATGCTTGCATGTACCTCGCACTCGCCTCAGACCACATTTCCCTCATCGTACTGCAATACTTCGTATCCTCTTAATATAGTTTCATGCTATATAGTCTCATGTCAATAAGGCACTACTAGTAATAAGGCATTAAGACCTTAGTCCTCGTAGAATAACCAGAAAAAGGAGAGATGGATGTATTGATGTTTCGGATACATGCTTTATACATTCGTTTCGATAAAGGCATGTGACCGAAATATCAAGACATCTATGTCTCTTTTTTCTCGTTATTGTGCGAGCAATAAGGCTAGCAGTACTGTCTTAGCAACATGCATAATGCTCTCATGCTCATGCTCATAATGCTCTTCGCACTTTACCTATACACTTTACCAATTACGTGATCTCATTTCATTCATAATTTGGAGCAGATTCTCATGCCTGGCACGTCACCACGCGTTTAGAACTATCAAAAACTTAGAACTATGTTTTTGATTTCATTCTACATTGTGTGATGCCCTCTCTACGTCATTCACAGTGCGTTCCAAAATTAGGAAACTGTTTGAGAATAGCTTGTAACCTTCGAAAAACTACTACGGAGTGGCGGAAAAGAAACAACCGGCCACAAGAAGCTTGAATGTCTTATTCTATGCGTGGAACGCGACGACTGGCTCTTTGGTGCGCTCGTATCGTGCGTCAAGTACCACCAGGGGGCATCCTCCCTTTCGGATGCTTTCAGCGATGATTCTTGTCATTGGCTGTGACACAGGGCAACACATCGCGATACATTTAATAAACCTCTGCATTGTGTCTCATGCCTGCCTGCAATGGAGCTGTGCGTACACACGCCCTGTCCTCGGTGTAGCCTCGGAGAAACATGCCCGATGTTGCGACGCGCGAGAAATATGAAGCCCAAGGACGTTGGATGCCCCGGGAGATCAGTCCATCCTGACAGTGCTTCTGCTGTCATCTTATTATCTCAAAAGATGTATGTGGCGCGACACCCTCTCGTTGGAAACGAGGCATTGTCAGCTTTACTCACCAGGCTCCGTCAGCAAGGGAGGTAAAACCTGCCGACTTAGTGGATAAGGTCGGCGGCAAAATGCATATATTCACGCAAAGCTCAGTGCCAAAAATATTTTTGGACAGCAAATTTTAGAGATGGCCAAGACGAAAAAATACAGCATACTACGCAAAACATAACGTGGGGTCTCCGTACACAGATATCCGGTGGCAAATATATCCCATGATTTTTAGTTGGTCGGCGTACTCGGTGGCAGGTTGGCGACAAATTAGCTTATTTTCTATGGCCCAGCCGGTCGGGCGATTCTCTGTTTTTAACAGCCGACTCTCAGTGTCCCAAACTAGACAGCAAAAAGTACTAAAAAATATCTAGATATGGGGATTCATCTGGCCGCAAGCGCGTGTTTCAGTTGTTGTGATGCGACTGATGTGAGGTGGGCGATGGCTTTCAACGCACTGCAACTTTGCAAGTCGCATTCGCATTGCAGTGTCATGAATGCCTGCCGAGGGTTTGATTTCCGGCCTTGTTTACTTCGCTGACTGTGCCGTGATTCAGCATCTTGTCCTCAACGACGAGAGGCATTGACAGTTCAGAGTAAGTCGACGGGGTGACCCGATCAACGTAGAAATTGGCCGGTGGTTATCTAGACCGCCTTTTTAAGATGCCGGCAAGACTGTTACTCACTGAAGCAGTCACAAGCGACCAGCCTTCTTCCCTTTCAAAGAACTGTGGATTTGATATTGAAGCTTGATGGCACTCCTTATGAAGAAGACTAACAGATGATAATAGCTCTGAGATACCAATTTTAGACATTTTTGTACCTGTCCTGATGCTTTTGCGGTCGAGGAAAGCAAATCTAGCCGTAGGTCAAGTTTAAACTTGAAGCTCCGGTAAGTCCCAAGAGTGGAAGAAAACTCTTGCTGTGATTGGGCTATCTCAGTAGTCTGGGTAAATACGCCTGCTTTCCTAACAGCAGCACTTATCCTGACATTTGCTCAAGGGCAGTGCATGACTGAACGTTTCGGTTATGTGCATGCTATTGAAAATTGCAGGGATGAAAGAGACTTTCGGTGATAGGCTGATCACTGATGACGCTACTGGGCATGGACTCAATTGCCATTTTGTCATATAATATCGCATTACGCTACTGGCGACAATTTTTCCTCCAAAAACTTGGTCGGCGATAAAAAACACACTTTTACCACCCTTTTACCCACCCTGTACGTCGGGCTGCAGTGAGGAAGCTCTCATATCGTTGTCCATTGACATTAGCTGTTACGTTGTCGTTGGCCTCCAACCAGGAAGGACCAGTGACAGACAACACATGAGCAGGCAGCACATGTGCGGTGCGTACTTTGGTTGATGGAAACATCATCGCGCAGCTCCTTTTGTGGCATGGGATACCAGCAGTGATAGGTCTGGGAGTTGACTGTATTTGAACCCGTGACCGCCCCATGTCTGACATCATACACCCCCACTTTCCACACACGGACACACACATTCATCGATATGCAAATAATATCCGAGCCGTGTCAGACCGGTGCATCAAACTTTTAGAATTGAGTCGTTGTCAATTTCATACATCCAGGACAAGAAAACAAACTGATGTCAGATCAGGGTACTGAGTTATGACGTCACCAGTTAATTTTTTCGCGGCAGTTTTTCCCCTGAATGCAACAATCTGCCATTCTAATTCACGGTCCAAATTGTTTTGATCTATTTTACTGACCATTTTCACCATGTGGTAATCATGGTGAAATATCCTGTATTATGTTACAGTGGCTCACCGTCAGAGCTCACAGGTTAACAAAAGGAGGTTAAAAAGGTACAAGAGGTTAGATATAGTCGCACAAACATGACTTGTTACGACCATTTTGCGACGGATGAATTGGCGTGATTGACACCTTTCCAAACGCAGATATTGATATGTCATGTCATCCATAAGAGCAGAAGGACCAAACCAGTTGGTGCGGGGCGACTTTGACTTTATACGTGACTTTGGCCATGTCTGACTTTGACCACGGATCTTTACGAGCATTATAATCTGATTCCGGAGCGCATAAACATGTCTGACACCAAACAAAAGGTTAGGGTTGGTTACAAAGCCAGGCGGCTATTTGAACGGATGGCAGAGAGCGTTGGCATCGATCAAATATCTTGGTGATTTCTAGGGAATTCTGCTGCATCTGTAATGTCATCAGTCACGTGATAGATTCCAACTAAACGATTCCTGGGTGATTCATTGCCGTTTGAGTCTTCGCGATCTGGCGTTCATATCCATCGGTGTCGGAGGCTTAATTGCAACATCTTGGCGGTCGCTACCGTACCCAGCAGCGCTGGGTTATTTGGAACTTGGCTTGGTATGAGCATCACATCTGCTGCACTTGTCAGTGCCCTCGTAACGCAACAATCAGCACCTTTTTATTAGAAGCTCTAATGATTAGTAACTTTGCTATACGTAGACAGCAGATGTCAGTTCAAAACCATATTCAGAGCATTCTTTTCCTGCTGGCTTGCTCGTCCGCCATACGCTTTTACCTTAAGTCAGCATGAGACGCTTTCAAAATACATACCTTCTGATGTTTTCGGAGTGACCCATATATCCAATTATTTCTTTTGCTCTCTGACAGCACCCTGCAAATTCTATTCGTCCCCTTCACTTCTCAACTTGAAATCAAAGCGGTCCCGTTGTTTGGTTTGAGCTTTGTGAATGGCGTAGTATGAGTATGCTGGCGTTTTAATGGGCGTAGTGTGGATATGTCGGTGTCGTGTTGACGGACCAAATGTGTAAATTATTGTTGGATTGTGTATGCTATGTTGGAAAGCCCTGCTATCGGTTTAATTTCACTGGTAACAACCAATGCTCTTGTTAGTGGTCCGGTAACAGACACAAACGTGCACGAGGACGCGGGACAGTTCCGGTGGAACACAATCCTGTTTTCCTGCCACTCGTGCCTTGTACCATGCTGACATTTAACGGAGGCAATCACAAACACCGCACTGACAAGTTAACCATGTTTTGAAATAACACCATGCAACTTCTCGTCCGATGAATATTCATTGCGGTTGTTTTCTTAAAACATATATTAGAAACTACATGATGCAACTAATTTGTACAAGGTTTCGGTTTTTCGTGCGTCTTTAGCTCGAATTTGGAGTAGTATTTTCACTGTTGTTTTCATTTCCGTGACTGTTACGTAATTCGTGTACTAGTGCTATCAAATACCGCAATGGGATAGGAAATGCCCGAACACGTGTTTGTGCTGCTCTTCACTAACGTTGGTCTTCGCAAACGCTGTTCTTTACTGACCATGGTCTTCGCAAGTGCTTCACTGGCACTGGTCTTCGCAAGTGCTTCACTGGCACTGGTCTTCATAAGTGCTGCTCTTCACTGATACTGGTGTCCACGTGTGCCACTCCTCAGTGAACCTGGTGTCCACATGTGCTGCTCTCGGTGGCACTGGTGTCCACATGTGCTGTTTTTCACTGATACTGGTCTTCGCATATGCTGCTACTCGCTACCACTGATGTCCACATGTGCCGCTCTTCAGTGACCGCGGTGTTTGCATGTGCCACTCTTCAGTGACCGCGGTGTATGGCTGTTGCAGGCGCGGCCCGGGCGCGACAGTCGCCGCCTGTGAGGTTTCCTCCCGACCCCACCAACACCAGAGAGCCGATCTCTCTGCGGACGGCCGCGGCGTGCTCGGACCTCGAAATCGAGCTGGGACTTCGGCTGGGCTCGATCGGGGCCACGGCCGACTAGGCCGGCCACGGGCTGGACGTGGGGAGGGGACCAGAAGCGGACGCCCCTGACCGGGTCAGCTGACGGCGGTCCCGAGTCGGTCGCCGGACTGACCGGCTGGGGTGAGATCACCGCGGCAGGCCCTCTGGAGTGGGCGCCCTGACAGGGCATGTGCGGGCGGAAACCACGACAGGACGTGTGGACCGCACCGGAGATGCAGCGCGAGCGACCGGACGTGGGTGGAGCCGTCCACGGAGGGTTCGGTCCCCAGTCGGGGTAGTGTGGTCCGGATCAGACCGGCTCCTGTCAGCCGGCCGGCCACGCGCCTGTTCTGCGAGGCCGGAGAGGTCGAGAGATCGCTCGGATCTCCGCTCTGCTTCTGCGCCAGCGCAGCGACATCGGTGTATCGACGACCGCGGATCTGGCGGTCCCAGCGGCGCCACTGGGCTCCCTCAGAGGCCGCCGGGACGTGTGCGTGTGCCGTTGCTGACCCTGCATTGCCACTTCTTGGAGAGGAGGTCTAGGACGTCGCTCGTCGGTGAATGATCTCGTCGCTCTAATTTCGCGTGTGCTTGGTAGGCAGATGAACAAGCTGCTTTATTTGTTTTTATTGAAACCTGTTGGTGTGTCGGTGGCTCTATACAATGCATTGTGGGTACAACTACGTAAGTGAATTCTATTTTCTCAGTGGCAGGCTTGTTAGATGTTTACACGACATTTTTGTACAACAAACGGGCAGCAATCTTTACAAGGTATATTTGGATCATGGCTGGTCATTGTTTATCTGTCGCGTGTTGCACTGAGTGCTTGTATTTACGTCACACTTTCCTGTGGTATAGCTGGGGTGTGCTGACGTGGCTACTGATGAAATGAATACGGCGTAAATTGGTGGTACGGTCCCGGTTGCCATGTAAATATATGTATGTCGTCAATCGGAGCCAGGTGCCGCCTTTCCGTGACGCTCCTTACGCTTTGTACAGACCATGCAACGTATTGATTTCGCGTGAATGTCACATGAACCTTCACTGATATGCGCTCACACACGCGTGAGACACGAATGTTTGTCGCGTCCATAATAACGTGGCACGCATGTCCAGCATACTGTTCACGGTCCGTTCGTGCGACAGCTCGATCAAGCTATTTCTGACCACACAGCGCCGTTAACACTCGTGGCCAGACACGGCCAAGCCGGGCGGGCCGAGCCTCCGGCGCCGTGGCCTGACCGGCGTAGAGCCGTCCCCCGCAACACAAAGTAGCACACTGTCAGCGCACGACGTGGCCGCACGCAGGGCTGGCGCGCGGGAGCTGCCCGCCGTCCGCCTGATGGCCGCCAAGTGACGTCTAATGTGGCGCGGCCGCGACAAAGCCCCGCAGCTGACTGACACAATTACTGTACGGCCGGCCGCTCGCCGTCGGTTCCCTATTGACGCCGAATTGCGCCCGACTGCAGGGCGCATTGTCAATGCAGTAATGGGCGCCGACACAGGCACGTGCCGTCCCTGGCGAACGTGCCGGTCCTTACCCGATGGCCCCGGCGCTGGCGGCGGACGGGCCGGTGCGCAGCAGGGGACGCTCACGCTCGCGTGCCGGTGGAGGGCCGGCGAGCCAGGTGAACACGCTGGACAGGACACCCGTCATCTGACAGATGACACGTCGGACAGATGACGCTTTTGCAATTAAATCCTGGCTCCTAATTATCCCGAGAAGCCGTCGGAAGAAGTGCGTTGAACGGGCTTAATTTACGTAAGCTAATACCAGCCAGCTGTAAAACTATTATGGGCTTAGCCCAATGCTTTGAAATGGTCTGCGGCTTTAATGTCAGGATAGGATTTTCCCTGAATTCCACATCTTCCAAAAAGAGCTACCGCTGCGGATGATATTATTCCGCTCGTGACGGCTTTGCACCACGGGCACTAATACATCACTCCGCGCGACCTCGTGCTGCGCACACGAAAGCTGGGGTCGGTCACTCATCTGAACAGTCACCTGTCATCTCTGGGTCACCATCTGTCTGGTCTGTGGTCCATTTGCCGTGGCGGCTCGCCTCCGCCTCCGCCGCCGCCGCCTCGTCCTCTCCACTAACTTTGAGCGAGTGCGGTCCGGGCGGCGGCTCCTCCTGCTCCTCGACCCCTGCCGTCCGCAGCAGCTCGGAGCGGCCGCGCTGTATGACGTAGGTGACGGGCCGCGACGACACACTGTGTGACGGCAGCGGCTGCAGCTGCCGCGGCGGCGCGGCGGGAGAGCCGAGTCCGGCGGCCGGCGCCGGCGGCTCAGGCCGCGCCGCCGGCCGCCCGGCCCGGCCCAGGTCACGGGCCCGCTCCAGGAGCTGCGTGAGCACGCGCTCACCGCTGGCACGCTGCAGGTCCCCCGGGCTGGGCGGGCTAGAGGCGGCCGAGAGGCGCTGCGACTCGGTCCGACGTCGGGGCGACGCCGCCATCGGCGTGAGAGAGGCCGGTCAGCGACCCGGGTGTCATCAGGGTCAGCCAGGCTTCGGGGTCACTACGATTCGGTCATAGGTCATAGGGGATGAGGGGGAGGGGGTCATCGAGATCAGTGGCGGCGCCAGGTCCGGTCACAGCTGTCGCTCTCTGTGAGACCTGGTCACGGCTCTTCAATCTTGTTCAGCCGCTACCACTTGGCAGCCACCCGGGGGTCGGATTCCAGGTGCTCAGCACAGCTTTCAGACGGCGTGCGCCCTGGCGGCGGAATTAGCGCGCACTTGGCCAGATGACCGGCTGTGGGACGCCAGCCAGATGGCAAGTGAATGGCCAGACCGACGCTGTTCCGCGAACAACTAGTCGGTGGCTTCGTCGATCGGGACGGCGATATATATTGAGCTCCCGCTGCGCTTCAGCTGGAGTTGCCAGCTGACGCCACAGGTCAGCCGTATGGCGGGGCTAAGCCCGAGCTGCCCAGCTCTCCACACCGAACTGCAGCCGGGATGCTTCGTTGCTTTTGTGCAGTCTCTCAGTCACTCGTGAGAAACCAGTCGAATAAAATCCCGGTGGCGCGCAGGACACCGCACGCCCCGCGCTCACGGCCTTCGCGCACTGGGGCGCCACCCACCAGCCTCGACCACGACGGCCCAACACAGGCGCATTTTGGGCGTCCTCGTTCACACCCGACCCTGGCCGCCGCGCGCAGCGCCGCGCCGCACAGCAGGAGGCGGTACACTGGGTGGCATGCGGGCGACCGCGGCCCCGCGGCAGCCCGTATCGAGCAGGGTCGTCGCCAATCGATCACGACGGTCCCCTGGCAGTCGCCGCCCGCGCCCGAGCCGTCGGACCCGGTGCGAGGCGGGCCCGAAGCGACACCTGTTGCGGGTGACGAGCACCGCCCAGCCGGTGAGCGGCGGAGGTGGCCGAGCCGACACTCGAAACGGCAGCGTCGCGGCTGCACTCAAGGCAGACGACTGGGGTGCGTCACCTCGGGCCGGTAAAAAGCATAACTTGTCTCTATGTAGGCAGGGTCGGTGAGTTACTGCCGTATGGGACATGCGAAACGCTCTTCCTCCCGAACTATGTGTTGGGTTCGGGGAAGAGAAGGGCTATAAAGCAAACCCCGCATCGCTTTACATCTCCTTTTTCAGTCCCTCCCAGCCTTACGTTGAGAGGGACTTGGGGTTCTCCACCAGCACCTAAGCATCGTTGCAGCCGGAAACGCGTACGGTATTTCAGGGACACCGAGTGACACATGGTGCTGAAACTACTCCAGTGGGACCGCTTCTCAGCCGCCTACGGGCGTCATGCGGACATAACGTACATCCAACACGCCAGATAAACACACAGACAAAACGCAAGTGCAACTAGCAAGGGGGGGGGGGGAGGGCACGCAGGCGTGTCTCGTCAGTAGTCCGCCCTGCAGGTGTGATGCAGCTGAACTTCCGACCTAGGCGGTGCGCAGCGACAGCCAGACGAGGATCTCCTGGCTTCGAGCCGCATCACATGAATTTACCACAGGACAATTCCATCCCTGCCTCTGAAATATTTACGCCAGTGGAGCTCAATTACGCCACAAGAATGCATTTCAATGAATACAACTTTTGGCATGCCTTACAATGTACTGTTTTATACGAAGGACTAAGACCAATCCAGTCAAGTTCAAACTATGCTTTCAGCGGTGATTCCGCAAATAACTGGATACTTTGTAGGATAACAACTGAATCATCTCGCATCTGTTGCGATGATTGGTGTGGAGGATGGTGTTTTCATGATATATTCGATACTTTGCATTTGTGTTTTGTTATTGAATATATGTGCTACGATCTCGATGTAAAGGTTTGTTTCCTCGGTACTCATACAAACAATTGGAAGGGAATAACTATAATTCATACATCCTTGAAGGGACAAGGAAAGACTCAGAGGTCCCGGTACCGCTTTTGCGGGAACAGATCAAGCCACGTTAGGTCGTAGCATTCCTGAGATGGTATCAGTGAATGGCCGGAGGGTGTTTGCCTAGGTGCTATGGTCAGCCAGCTTGTGTTTTGTACGGTTTGCGGCTGTAATTGAAACTCTGCAACCCACTGCAAAATGTGGCAGTTGCGATCTGCAAGAATGTCTTGTGCACTGTTCGACAATGGGGGAAAGGGTGGTGTGATGGTACCAATAGTTTACAGAGAAAAAACGTTGACGTAGGGCTATTTCTTTTGAGAAACTCGTGAACCTGGCCACATTCGCCATGCCTCATTGTTCACACTTGGTAAGATGAAGAACGCGGAAGAAGCGAACCATGCTGCCGAGATGAAAAGTCGTTCTCTTTATGAAGGCATCTAGTAATTAGGACCCGAGGGAGGAAAAACTCTGGCGACATAAAAGAGACGCTCCCGCTCACGTTCGCTGCGTACCGTGTCAGACCAACCAGACAGATGTTCGACAACAGTTTTATGTAAGCTGTCCATCATCGATTCATGTCCCTTGGCGAACGAGTCATGCGATTCAATTATTAAGTTGTCTGTTGGGCATCTTTTTGTTACAGGTTCACGTCAAAATTGTAATAACCCAGATCCGATCTAAACATTCATATCCCTGAGTGTGGATTGGTGCATCATTGATTCATTCCGCCTTCAATGATTCCGTGTGAATTTTAGTAATTCATTGAAATACTATTAATTCACAGCCAATATTTTATAATTCTGGCTGCGTTATATGTATTGCAGGTCGGCAACAAACATAGGTACACTTTTCTATACCTTGTTTCCATTGATAGTTGAAGAGGTGGTAAATCTCGATGAATTGTACCGAGATCACATATTGTTATTTTGTTACCTTCGCAATGAATTAATAACGAATAATAAGGTCAGAAAAAGAGTTCTCATTTCTTCACCGCTTCTGGAGGGGCCGTCGGAACGTAGGGTATATTGCCTTGCTTTACGCCGCGGCATATGCACTGTGTATAACGTGACTACGCGTGGTAGGCGCAAAAACACCACGCCCAGCATTTTTGCAAAAGTTTTTAGCCTTAGGATAGTCGTGCTGGCAGTACGTGTAACGGTGTGGAAAACAGCGATCCTCAATGGGCTGGGAGCGGCTAGACCCGTGCACGACTGCTGGAGGCGTTGCCACCGGCTGCTGTCGGGACGCCGCCCACTGCTGCCCCTTCATTTAATTAAAGGGATTGTATGGGTTTTCCTTCCCAAATGAGCTGCAGTCTCATGCGTTTATTTTAGCTGAAAATCAGGGCACTGTTACAGCTACGCCTCTGCTCAAGAAATCACTGAGTTCGTTGTCAGAACTCGGAAGGTTGGCAGCTTTTAATGCTTTTCGAATCAAATCAGTGCTTAATCAAGGTAAGGCTCAATATTGTCTAATGCTTGAGCACAAGCCACTTATATTCATCTCCGAGTTATGCGCAAAAACCCATTCGACATTCCAAAAGTCGGATGTTATTCTGGTATATCTTAGCAATACGATAGCGAAACAACATACTTTTACATATTAGATGCTATAAATGTGGCGTTTCTGCTGGAATCCTAGATATGGACGGCACTCCGTCAGTTAATTCTGCAGAAAGTACGCTGCAACATTATCGCGCATTCTGGAACGTCATTCGGCGCGAATGAAGCCAATTCCAGGAAAATGTGGGTAGTTGGTACCATTGGATCTCTACCACCTTAAGCTCCTTGTTTCGGGAACTAGCTCAGTTTTGGGGGAATCAAACGAACAATCCCCTCAAAAGTACCGTCGCCGTGACGTCAAGGCGCGCTGTATGAGTTCGTGTATTTGGCAGGCTAGCGGGGCAGCTAGGCCGCCCCTTGTCACCTTTTCGGACTGTTTACTGCAACAGCTGTGGTGCCGGCAGATGTATGCCCTGCATGTCACGTCACGGCAGTCATGGCTGCTCGGGTTGAGTAACGGCGTTAAACAAATCAGCCAAACCATCGCCGCTTAATGTTTAGGGTACCCACCTACAGTGATTCGCCTTAGGTTTCTAGGGCTTCAGTTTATGGCTTCTTGGCCTGACAGTGCGCTGGAGAGGGGTTGATTTGAAAGCGCTTGCTTTCTGAGCAGTTACAGGCCGGGTACGGTGAGGAATGTTCCCAGTGATGGTTGCCCCGCCTGCCGCTGCGGGTCCTGTGATCAATCTTAACGGACAGTGAGTGACTCGGGAGTTTGGTATGGGGTCACTGCCTGACACAGAGCTCTTTCATTTTGTCTTTGTGAATGCAGTCGCATCGTCATTTTGAATATCTCCTTTCTTTGTCAGAGGGCCCCGACCAACGCAAGAGGCCCTTTGACATTCGGGGTGCTGAATATGCCCCAAGCCGACTGGGAAACCACTATCGGCACAGGATACCCTGTCAGACAGTGTGAACCCCTGACCGATACTGTTAGCGCCTAACCGATACAAAGGCCCCTTATTTGATCAGAGCCCCATCAATGATAGAGGGCTTCAGTGACAGCCGGGGCCCCGGCCCTGTCCCTGCTTGAGAAATGAGGCCCCCGGGCCCAGACCGGGACGGTACAGACTGTTCGGTGTCCGCGGCATCTGGCCGACATGGAGTGTGGAGTCAACTCAGGGGCCTTTATTGGCACAAGGGGCCCTCAGACGGCATTTGAGGGCCCAACCGTGCTGGCTGGGGTCCCTGAATATGACCTTTAGCCCTCCCTTTTTGCAACTCAGGCACCCCAATCGGGCCCCTGATTGTGGGTCCGAAGGTGCGACCTCCTTGGTATTTAGGTGGACTCGTA